TTTTTGCGTGAGTGTACCGTCAAATCAGATCTGACTGGTACAGGAGGAGATTGTCCCTCCTTCCCCGGCAGAGCATCTGGTGGATTCGAACCGTGCGCCTCTGGGATTGTAGTTCAAGTTCTCCCTTCTTAAACACCTGTGCAAGTGATCAAAAGAGTATCTGTTCTTCTCTAAAGGTCTTTCCATGAACTCTTGTGGCCCAGTCGGTGGGAGGTAACTATGCTGCCAACCCAAAGGCATACATCACAAATCCATCATTTGCTGGCATAAAAAAGATGGGCATCTCCTTCCACACAATTCAGAGCCTATGAAAAACCACTGACAGATCTGCTTGAGTCAGTTCAGATTTGGTGACATGTAACAACAGGAAGTGTAAGGATGGCACAGGACAGAACAGGGTTCATATCTTTTGTTCATAGGGTCGCTATGAGTCATACTCAATTCAAAAGCACCCAACAACTACAACAACAGATGTCAATAGTTAATGGTTCTCATTCTATATACTGCCCCTTGGCCCCATTCTCATAAGGGATGTAACTAAGAAAATTTGTGGCACAGATGAACGTGGGGAGGGGTATTTGTAGCTCATTAATCTTGGCAGCTTCAGGCTCTGATCTTAGAGATTCACCTATGAAAATGCTGATAAACTTATGTATACCCAAACATGAGCGTAACTGGGCAGTGTCTGATTCTGCTGAACCCTTCTCACTATGAAGAACAGCACCACACCATAACAGTAAATGAGCTAATTTGAAAGACAAAATTTCTGAGAATTATTTTTGTTGTGTACCGTACAATCTGAACCAACCCATAAGTGACCCTCTGGCGGGTTTTCAAAAGCAGATAATCACAGGGGAGGAGGTAGTGCTTTTGAAATTCAGGCAACAGTTTAATCTAATGATTATTAATTATCTTGTACTGTAGCAAAATGTGTTAAACACTTTTGATAAAAAAATTAAACTGAAAACCAACAAAATATTGGGTCAGTTCCAACTTGATGGTACATAACAACAACACAGATAATATCAGGAAGCTCTAGGGGCCTAGGTAAACTGTACTGCAATCCCAAAGGTATGGTGTTCAAATCTATCAGCTGCTCTGTGGGAAGATGGACAATACCCTCCTGGGCAATTTCCTGCCTCTGAAAACCTGTTGGAGGGTCAGCAGTCAGTCAGTTCCATCCATCTCAACAGTATACAACAACATAAATAATATTAAAATTAGAGAGTAACCTTAGTTATTGTCACAAGTTTGTGAAACCAAAAGTTTTACTATCACTTTCAACAAATATATTTTATGACTTCACTCCATTTAATTTAGAGCCATCTCAGTGCAACTCAATTGGTTGAGTACGCATGGAATTTCAACCATTTTATATAAGCATAACCAAAACCAAACCAGTTGCCTTGTTGTGGAGTTGATGCTGACTCATGGAAACCAAATTATTTTAGAATAGAACTGCACTCCACAAGATTTTCTTCAATGGCTGCAGGTTTCAGAAGTAGATTGCCAGGCCTTTCATCAGTGGCACCAGTACATGAATGTGAATGGCCAACTTTTCTGTTAGTAGTCCAACACTTGACTATGTGTGTCACCCAGGGACTCTATAAACCACTGAGAAATATCCTGTAATCTTATCCATTTAAAATATGTCTGTATAAACGTCTTTCTTTAAAAGCCTAAGATTTCAAATGTTCAAAGCATTCTGAAAAGTCTCTACCTTGTTTAGCTTTACCAAAACCAAAAAGCCAAACCAACTGCCTTAGAATAGATTCTGACTCACGGAGGCCAACCAACAGTTACTGAGGCTATAAGTCCTAAAAGGAAACTTTCTCCCAGTAAGCACAATAGTGGGTTTGAACAGTGGTTAGTAACCCATTAGGCACGATGAAACAATTGTTCCTCACTATATGTGCAGCTAAGTAAAATTACTGAGCAGTGATTAACTCTCTAGTAAATATATCATTATATTTGTGTATGTGTGTGTTTACACATTCATTTCAGAAAAACTAAATGAGAAGTGGCTAAAATATGAGAATTCAAAAACACCAAAGTTTTACTTTTAGAAAAGAGTCCACTGACTTTAGAAAATATATTTACATAAAATTAAGTGCAAAGGGAATGAACTTCTGAAAATATCTTTTAAAAAAATAATAAATTTAAAAAAACAAAAGAGAGCACATAAATCCAATGATTTTATTTTTTCAAATTCATCACAGTTCCCTATTGCTAATGGGTTGTCTACACAACAACTTCATAATTATGAATATATATATTTATACACACACACAATTTATATGTATATTTAGGTATATGGCTTTCTTATGTTATACATACATACATGATCAAAAGTCTCAACTGACCCCCCCACGATACATCTTCAAGGATATGAACATGTACGGCTAAGCACAATTAATAACTGTGCATCTAAACTCCAAAATCAATCTCCATAATAGTCTATGTGTTTCCTACTGCCAAAGGGGCCCTTTAGAGTAGTGAGAGAAGATCTTCACCCTGAAACCCACAGCGTCCCTTTTCAGCAGGAAGTAGCTAAGAGAATACGCCATCCCCTTTTCCTTATGACTCAGGGTGAAGTCTCTCTCAGGGAGGAGTGATAGGGAATGGCAAAGGACACACTGACAAAGGAGATTAATCAGAACTGACTTTGACAAGCACTGTGGCAATTGGACAATTAAAACAGACATTCGGATGGCGGGGGAAAACAACAAACTGGGGAGGAGGGTAGAGAGAATAGTGCAGCAATGAAGGAATGAAAACCCAAAATCCCTGTAAATGTTCATTAAAACTAATAAAATTTAATAATAATTTAAAAAAAAAAAACAGAAAAAAAAGTCTCAACTGAGCCCTCAAAAAGTCAACAAGACAAGCTCCATGACATAATGAGGTTATTTTTCATCAAGGAAAAAAAACAAAAGCTGTACTCTGCAGTTGGTAGAAATGCACAGCAGGGCCGTCTGGGCTGTTGTTTGCTCGCACAGGGTGCGGTTACAGGCCATCTACTATAGTAGATGAGGTGCCAAACCCCACTATAGGGTCGCAATGAATTACACTCCACGGCTGTAAGTTTGGATTTGTTTAGGCGAGAACTCCCTTCAGCGTTTTCCCACGCCCTCGCCGCGCCCTCTGCGCCTCCAGCAGCTCCCAGGGTGCCCACCCTGCACCCTGGCCAAAGCCCCGCCCTCCCCGAGGGCCCGCCCCCGCCCCGAGCCTCCTAACGCGCGAGTGAGGGGGGGGCACGCCGCAGCCCGGCCTTAAGTACGCCGCCGCCCGCCCCCGCCCCGGGCCCGCCCCCTGCCCCGCCTACGAGGATCGCCCAGCGCGCTCCGAGCGGGAGGCGCCCTCCCTCCATTCTCCCGCCCGCTGCCTCCCACGCGCTCTCCTGGCCCGCCTCACCTTGGTCCGAATCTGGCCTGAAGTGGACACTTTGCGGATCAATTTCTGTGGTCCCTCCTGCTCTGCTTCGCTGTCCGAAGAATCTTCTCCGAGCCCTACCGAGGCAGCAGAGGGGATCTCGGTGTCAGCCCCAGCGTCGCTCAGAGGGTGGTGCTGGCCGATGGCCCCGGCCATACTCTCTGACTCCTGTGGGGACACAGCACCGCCCGGCGGGGGCGGCAACAGTCAGCGGATGGCCTCTGACCGAGCGGGGCCCGGAGTCCCGCGCGCCCTCGCCGCCATCTTCCACTCCCGCAGCCGCACTTGGGGGACCGGCCACCCTCACCCTCGGAGGCGAGGGTCTCGGAGGATCAAGTCACCCTGGGGGGAGGGATGCGCCGTGCTGCTCTGCTCATGCCCGTATGGAGCAGCGGCCACCCTGTGGTCACAGCACTCAACGTGTAGGACCCCTGCGCACCCAGCTCGTGGTGTTCTGAAGGTCCTGACCCTGAATGCAACTAAAGTGGAGACGGGTCGCTCACAGACCGGGGTACCCTCTCTCTCCCTCCAGGTTCTGAGTTCTCTAGATAGCTGAGAGGGAGGGGTATGGCAGGAAACATCCACCTTCAGATATTGGGCCAGCCAGGCTGTGGGGACCCTCCTCTCGCTTGGTTTTGGCAGCTGGGGACGACTTCTTCCTCTGACTCCCGCAGGCGCACCCGCTGCCTTCGGGACCCCAAATCTTACTAGGGCTTGGCCGCACGTTCCCTCTCCCAGGCCGGCGGGGGCGCTGCGAGAACAGGGAGCACTGCCCCTTGCTGGGCTCAGGACCCCGGCCCCTCGCTGAGGGCCGTACCTCCCCTGCCTCTGTCTTCGGAATCGGGTCCCTCCAGGGCTCGAGGCCTCGGCGTTTAGGATCTGGCCCACTCCCAGGCAGCACACAGGGAAGAGAACATTTTCTGAGATTGGACTGCGCTCTGAGAACTTTTCGTTCAGAAAGAGCGATCCCTTCGGCTAACAGGAAACTGGGAAGGGCGTGGAGAGAGAGCAGAAACAAAAGAGTGCGTGCAGCCCGAGACGACAGAATGCAAAATAAATGTTGAAGCTGTAGCGCTAACCAACACAGCCTGGAAGAGAACAATGCACTTGGAGCCCGGTGAACACCAGTACCTAAAACATGAAAGTTCTAGGAGAGCCACTCCCTAACTGTACTGGAGCAGTAGGAAATGGACTAACAAGCAGGAGCCACTGTCCTCAATAAGCTGGCACCTGGGGAGCAGCAGGCAGCCCAGCAGGTGTGGGAGGGCCAACGCCAAAGGCACTGAAATGACAGATTCCTCTGTCAACTGGAGAAGAACTCCAAACTATTAGCTCTAGTTGGAAATAAGACAAAAGGCCTTAACCAGACAGACGGTGGAGTTTCTCCATTTCAGTAAAGCATTACATCTCTAGCAAGTTCCCTTCCTCTTTCTTCAATTCAGCCCTTGAAGGTCCTTCCAATTTCAGATTGTATTATAGGGTGGTTTTTTTCCCCTTTTAGTTGCAGTCATATCCAATAATAATTTGATTGCCATCTCAGACCTGTCAGTTTTAAAAGGTTTGAAAAACACAGTCCAAATTGTGGATGGCGTTCATTAGAATGAAAATGTACTTAGTACTTTAAATGTTCACAGACAAGCGACTGCTGCCAGGAAGAATGAATTTACAGAGGCAGCCCCTCCAGCGTCCGTTTTCTTCTTTAGGAAAGGAAGAAGTTGGGCAAAATGAACTTTAAGATCTCATGATTCTATAAATAGGTGACTGTGTATCTACAAACAGCACAATGCTGTGGAGAGTAAAATAACATCAAAATAAGGACAGAGCTGTTTAGTTACTGACAATGGCTAGACAAAGAAGACAAGTACCCCTACTTAAAAGCCTGTAGAAAGAATCCACTTCAATCTTCTTTAATGTAAAAGAAACTGAGGCTGAAATACGATCTGAGAGCAAGTCATGTGATTTCTAACCTTGTCACTGAATTGCACTACATGAGACATGACAAAAACTACACTGCAAATATTTCATACTTCTAGTCATACTTTTGACTGGTTTGTATAGTTAGAAGCCATTTCCCAGAATCCAGAGGGAGTAATTAAACTGAAATAGTGTTTAATGTCTATACCCTACTTCAGCATCTTAACAAGAGAGCCAAATACATTTCTCACTCCTTAATTCAAATGTTGATTGTTTTTAAATGAATTTAAAGCAGTTTCACATTGCAAAAAGCTGGGCAATTAATACCTTTCTAAGTAAAGGTACATATATTAAAGATCTGACCTTATAGGCAGTCTGCTCTTCAAAAGTTCCTGCAGCAAATTCTAATAGTTGGTTTTGACATTGAAAGTAAAGCTAGTCTTAGCTTGCTCACAAATAAATGATTCCTGCTTTAAAATTTCCCTAGCATACAGAACGCTCAGAATGAAAATTCGGAGTAGGGAATTAGTAAGATGAAAAAGAGCCCCCCCCCCAATTTAGTACAAAAAGCAGCTCATGGAAAACCCTTGGAATCCATTCCGAAGAGGGATTATTTCAAGGAATTCTTAATTTAAAGTATCTGACCCACCAGCTGCTTCTCAGGTCTTATCTAGAAATTACAAGTTTCCAGAATGAATATTCAATTTATACACTGTAGGCCTGCAATGTATTTGACTTGCATTAAAAATATAATAGCAGTGCTGGTATCTCATTTTAATTTAGCTGAAAATAGCACTGAAACAAATTTCTAATATATGACATATACCATTATTTATTTAATTTTAAAGATTTCCTTGGCTTTTTGCCTTACTTGGTGTTTTAAAAATTCCAAATAGTTTCCTGCACGTGCCTTTCATAATCTTTTTATTATTACTTTGAAATGTATGGAACCTAGCATATCACAAACACACTCTTAAAAGATTAGACTTAAGGCATGTAAACACTGAGACCAAGATATAATACAATGGGCATAGGTAAACAACCCAAATTATCCTAAACATGTTTAAGTTACAGACAAATCTCATAATATCAAGTTTATGAATATTACTGCACATTGAAGGGTCAGTTATCAATCAGTTCCAACTAGACAGCACTCAACAACAAACATCAGTGTTATCTACGGACATAGTAGGCTTTAAATTATATTCTTATAATAGATCACTACCCATTTCCAAAGGGGTGTAATCACTTGCAATTTATTTTAAAATTCCATGTTTCAAGGCATTAAATATGCATTATAAATGCAGAATTCCACATCTGATGCCTGCGGAATTAAAGTAGGTACTTCAAAGTACTCATGATGTAGGCAGGACTCCTGTTTCTAGTCAGTACAAATTACATAACCAAAGAACACTGCTGGTTCAACAAACACAGTCCATAAAAGACTGCTTTCAAACATTAGAAATTCCAAAATGCAGGATTTGCTACAATTTCCATACAGTCTTCCCCTTTGCCATTAATTCAATAAAAAAGTATTTTGAAATTAATCACGTAATTCTTGCATTTAATTCTTTCTTTCCTGTAGACATGATGCCCTTTTGCCACCAGCTGCTAACCAATGGGTTGGTGCTGCAAACCCATCCACTATCACTGTCGAATAACAACCTGCTTCTATAAATGTTAGAACCAAGAAAATTGATGGAGCAGTTCTACTTTGTGACACTTGGGGTCAACATGAGCTGGAACGGACCTGACAGCAACAGGCTTCTGTTTGGTTTGCAGCTCTTCCTTCCTAAACTGGCACTAGTTCTGAACTGTTTCATCACCACTGACTAGTCTAAAATAATCTGGAGACTAACACAATATGCAAAATGTACTCCTCTCTTATCTAAGAACCACTTTTTAAATACTCCCACTTTTTTAAATTTGGCAGAATGTTAACTGAATTTTTTCCAGGACATTATGAGTCAAGACATAATTTTATCTCATAATCTACCCATGCCCCCACCAAAATAATTTTAAATCATTAGAAATGCAGGTAATGCCTCTACTCCCACTGACAAGGTTAAATACCAAAGGTAGCTTTAAAGAAAATCATTTCTTTCTTAAGACCCAGGGCCCGAGCAGAGTACTGAAAAGGCCAAAATACCATTTGTCTCATGGCTGACTTTCTCATGATGATGCCCTGAGTATCAAAGTAGATTGCGCTTCATAAGGTCTTCAAAGCTGTTTTTCAGAAGATCACCAGACCTTTCTTTTGCTGAACCTGAGATGGGGTGGGCCTAAATCACCAAGTTTTCAATTAGAACCCTATCTCACTGTTTACCCAAGTTTATTCAACTAAAGGATTTCATTTCATTTCCAAGTGCAAAGAACAGCGCAAGTTCAGCAGCTGCCTCCCAGTTCCAGACAAGGCTGCATTTCAGGAAAGAAGTGCCATTACGCTTCTTTCTGCAGAGTTCCGTGAGGAATCACACCATCATGTTTTAGCTTCCATCAAAGAGTGAAGAGAATCAACTCTTATATGTATGCTATTATATGCCCTCAGAGATATGCAGCAGGATCTGATTACATACACACACACTGTCCATTCAAAACGGAATATGCCTTTTCACTGATGTAAATTAGTAAACTTTTATGCTAGAATATTAAAGTTACTAATATTTGAATTCTAAAAGCTGACTCTACTAAAAGGAGTTCAAATCAAAACAGGTGTTACTGACATTTTGAATTCTTTCATGGGCCATAGATTAGGCTTCAGGAAATCTGTTATTCCTTGAAATGATATTTTACATGTTGGAAGCAGGAGAGGATAGAGATATATATATGTGTGTGTTTTTTATATATACATATATATATATAAAATCATATATTCACTACTGGGATTGGAGGAGGGGCCACAACTTGATAAGCAAGTAAAAGGTCAACAAACCCTGATTTTTAATAATTTCATGTCCCTTTGAACATTTAAAATAAGCTGGTTGTTTCTCTTCATTCCAAATACCTAAAATATTTAATACTTAACTCCAGACTATTTCCTCCCTAATTTATCCCTCCTTTTTCCTCTGCTTTTCTATACTCTGGGTGACTTAGTTTTTTTAAGAACTGAAATATAAATTTCTTTTATTAATTTTTAGCTAGACTTCTGACATTCAGGTTCACAGGACCTCAAAGACTTGAGTTACCTGGTATAGAATCACTTCCTATTCCGTTGTATCAGGAGCATCATGGTTTCACGTCAC